AAAAAAAAAATAAAAATAAAAAAATAAAAAAATAAAAAATAAAAACAGTGGCCATATCAAACAGGCATAAAATTGTATCAAAGAAGTAGACAACTATTACCGTGGTGTTAAACAGCTATATCCCATATTAGAAATTTCAATAACCCTTGGGTAAAAGCAATATCCTCATAAACACAATTAATATAAACACAACACCTAAGAGGACAATATTTGTAATTAAATGTAGAGGGACCTAATTATCTGTGATTAATATTAAATACCTAGTTATAGACAAGGGACCAATTCAAGAAACCTGCTATAGAAAACAAACTGAAGAGGATGAAAGAAAAGTATTACAGGATTTTGATACCAACATATTATGGACTGATATGGTGCTCTATGCTGTGGTAAGGAAAAACTGGTACTAAACTAGCCTAAAATAACATTAGTTAACACTGTCACTTTTCACACACATGTTATACTGTATGCATGTGAGTATTTATGCTAAACTTTAATTTAATGTTATATAATATTCTAATACTGTATTATATTTTAATCATGTTCAAGAAATTTTGCATATTTGAAATACAGTATTTAAAAAGCCATTTATCACGATATCAGTATATACAATAGACAGACATACCAAATACTTTACGACTGTCTGATAAAATTTGTAACACCAAGAATTCATGAAGGTGATAGGTTTAAATTATGAGGCACCAAAATTCTTCTGAGAAGGGTTTAGGCCAATAGTGAAAACTTCTAAGAACTTAGAAAAAGAAAAGAAACCCAAACCCAAAGCAAACATAAAGGGAACAGAAAGAAATGGTAGAATGGAAATATGTGAATCAGAATTAGAAATGAAAGAAAATGAATACCTACCAATTTTATAAAATAAAAACCATTGAATAAGAATAACACAAGCAAATGTGTACTAATTGTCTTAGTTACTTTTTCACTGCTAGGACAAAATACTGGACACCACAAAGTAAAGTAGCAACCTTTATTTTACCTCAGGTTAAAGAGGTTTCAGTACATAGTCAGGTGACTCAAAGGAAGAGGAACACTGCAAAGGAGAAAGAGTTTGTGGCATGACAGACAGAAAACAGCACCCTTTCTTCTATTTTCCCTTTTTATTCTGTCCAGGCTACAGGCCTATTGACTGGTGCCATTCACACCCAGGGTAGGTCTTCCTTCTTTAATAAACCCATATAGTTACACTCCAAACTACGCTAAACCAATCAGTGGAGGGATCTAGTATCACACCAATGATCTAGTCCCTCCCAAACGCCCAACCTGGGTGTGCAATGAGGCTTTGGTGGAGGATCTAGATATAAGCCATAACAATTAATTAAATAAATTACTATGAGTATTAAGTGGATAAATTACTATGGTATTACGTG